GGAATATAACAATGAAGCGAAATTGAAGGAACAAAATGGCAGCAGACTCAGAAACTCCAAGAATGAACTAGTGGTTACCAAAGGGGAGGGGTGTGGGAGGGCGGGTGGGGAGGGAAGGGGACTGAGGGGTATTATGTTTAGTACACATGGTGTGGAGGGTCACGGGGAGAACAGTGTAGCACAGAGAAGGCACATCTGTGGCATCTTACTATACTGATGGACAGTGACTGCATTGGGGTAGGGTGGGGACTCGATAATATGGGTAAATGTAGTAACCACATTGTTTTTTCATGTGAAACCTTCATAAGAGTGTATATCAATCATACCTTAATAAAAAATAAAAAAATTAAGTAAGTAAAAAAAAAGAAAGAAACAAACAAACCAACCAGGTATATAAGATGCATTTGGACCATCCAGTAAGATGCAGCTGAGCCCAGGCAGGACGTGTGGTAATAATAGCTGCTCCTGAGCAGTCTTGCTTTCAAGAATTGCTGGGAAGCAGGTGCTATGAAGCATAATACAGAGATGACAGCGTGTCTCACTTGCTGACAGTAAAAGGGGCCCAGGGAGGCAGGAGAAAGAGGTGCCATGGCTGGAGTGACCCTCCAGCATGCACGGGATGGACAGCATGGACAGGGGACACTGGGGCCTCAGAGGACACAGCAAAGGGATTCATGGGACAGCATGGTGGGTGGAGCAGGGACACCCCCTACCCCTCAACATCAATGTTTTCAGTTAAGCAGGGTGGAGCTGGGCAGGCATGGGAACCACCTCGCTGGAAGGTGGCAGCCTGAATGGACATGGGAGGCGGGGCAGGTGTAGGGTTGTCGGGAGGATTGTACTGCCCCAGGGACCAGTGTCCCCAGGTCAAGTGCTTCTCCAGCCACACAGAGAGTCGCGTTTACCCAGGACAGGGTCTGCTGGGCAAGTAGGTGGTGTGAGGAAGGGGCGGAGGGAGGAGGGCAGCCACCAGATAAGGAGGCAGTGGGGAATTGCAGCTCCTAGTGCCGAGAAGGCTGCCTGGAACAGAGACCTTGGAGGCTGGTGACCAGCCGGTGGGTGGTCGCCTTGTGAGATCATGTGGAGAGTCGTATGCAGGATGTCATTAATAAAAACAGAACAACAGAAAATGTTAGGGCCCTACACTAGAGTATGTATTGAATCATAAAACTCCTCTCTCATATATGTGTACCTGATCATAATGTAAAATGTATTCTGCTATTTTTTATTGTGGAGATAAATAAATTGTGTGTGTGTGTATATATAATTTGCCACTTTAACGAGTTTGTATAATTCATTGGCATTAAGTATTCACATTGTTGTGCAACCATCCCCACTATCTATTCCCAAAATTTCTCATCAGCCCAAGCTGAAACTTTGTACCCATAAAATGTGGTCATAGTTAAAAACATCTGAAAGGCTCTGGTAAGTGGCTAGCAAGGGGGTCGGTATCTGGGGTCTTGCACAGGACAAGCTCCTTCCAGGAGAGGGGCCAGTGAGCTGACAGGCCAGGGTACTGGCAGCACCTCTGGAGCACAGACCTGCTACATTCAGATTTTAAGAGAAAGCTGGGTCTCCAAGAATGAAATTAGGAACCTAACGTAAAAAACAATAGTGGATCTGGTGCTAGAGTTTTCAAAGAATAAAAGGGCCTGTGGAAATAAAGTGGCCAACCACCACACATAGTTAGATATTAGGGATGTTAAGGTTAATACTGTGCAGCTACGGAAAATATTTATAAAAAACTGCAGTAACAGAAAAAGGCCCTTTCAAAAAGCGAGATACAAAATCACATAAACTCTGGCTCATACCAAGTTAGAGGGTTTTTTTTCCCCTAAGGACCGGCTGAGAAGATATTTTCAAAATAATAGATATTATTATCAAAAAAAATAAGATAATAGCAAAAACGACAGCTTATGCTTAACACAATCACAGGAATCTTGAAAATTCACAAGATAAAGCAAACCAGTTGGGAATGGAAGGAGACCTGAAAGACCTAACAGTTAATGAAAAGATACTAAGATGCTGACATTCATCCATAAAACTCTTCAGACGGTCCCGAGTTCCCGCGTCTCAGCTGGGTCTCTGGAAGCAGGGGGTCGGAGGGGACCGGAGCCTAGCAGGATGACCGAGTTCTGACAGATCGGGGCACACCCACAGACACGCAGAGCTCTCCACGGATACATGCATTGCGGGGAGCAAATGTAGAGGATGCTAACGGGCAGAGAAATGTGCAGTGTGCTTTGAAAAATTGTGTAATTAAAAAATCTACAAAGAAAGGCTGTGTGGCCAACAAAACGACATGAGAAGTGTTCAGGGCCAAGTGTGGACGCAGAGAGGGGCGAGCTGCCTGGGGTCCGGGAGCGCGGCCCGAGGATGGGGCTTCTTGCCGGGTCCGGTTTGGGGGTTTCGGGGCAGAACCAGGGTTCCCAGGTAGAGCGGACTGGAGAGTTAGGGTGGTCGGAACGGCGGGCGCAGACAGCCCCGTACTCTGCGGACCGGGTCGCGGAGAGGTCCGGCCAGGAAGTCCTGGCCCCGCGTCAGCCACCCACACAGCTCGCTTCGGCCAAAGAAGCTGTGGGCCCGGCGTGTCCTCAGCCAACTCACGCGTACTGGAGGGGCGGCCGACCTGTGGGCTTCCTCGACTCTCTGGCCAACCCGCGCCTGCGCTCCTCGTCGGGCCCGCCCACTCCCCGCCCCGCCCCGTGCGCCCTGCCCCGCCCCCCTCGGCTCTCATAAGCTGGCTCCCAGGCCGCGCTCCCGGGCCGACCAATGGGAGCGCGGCGCGCCCCGTGGCACGTGCGCCCTTTCAGCCCCGCGGGGCGCGAGCCATCCTAGCTTTCCGGGCGGAGGCGCGCGGGGCGGGGGCGCGCGAGGAGGGGCGGGGCCCGAGGGAGGGGCGCAGGAGACGCGGCGCGCTGATTGGCCGGCGCCGCGTTCCGAGGCCGTTAACGGCGGCGCGGCCGGGCAGCGGCTCCAAAACAAAGGGCAGGCGGCCCGCGGGGCGGCGGCGGCGGGAGGATGCCTCGCGCCCTGCCAGGGCGCCAACGGCCGCAGCGCGTGCCGGGCAGCGCCGTGGCCGCCTGGGAACCGAGCCCGCGCTGACGGGGGTCCGGGCCGGATGGGCGCTGCGGGCCGGGGCGCGGACCGCCGAGCGGCCGTGAGTACTGGCGGGCCTGCCCCTGCGGCGCGGGCGGCTGCTCGGCGGCGCCCGGCGGACCTGCGGCTGCGGGCGGGGCGCGGAGGCACCTGTTGGGCGCCCGGACGGCGGGGCGGGGCGGGCCGCGCCGCCATCCATTCCGTCTGGTCTGATTTTCTGGTTTGTTGTTGCTTGGCTCCCTCCTTTTTGGAGCGGACCGCAAAGCCTTATCTTTGTTTTTTCCCCGCTTTCTTCCCTGCTTGTCTCCGCCCCCTCCCCACCCTGGCCACGAAAAATTTAGAGAATGAAGTAGAAGCCCGATGACAGTAGGTCTTTCCCTCTTAAAAAAAAAAGTCGCGATTGGGGAAGGAAATGAGGACAAAAGAGGTCTCCTAGGAATGTTTATTTCAAGTTGGCCACATAAAGCTGGCGACCCAGATGAACTGTCCGTTTTAGCTCTCCCCTTGAGGCACCGGGTTCATTAAGGCAGAGCTCGTAAAAGCCTTGGCTTTGGAAACCGGCCAGTAGGGGCCCTCTCCCTCAGGCCTGTCTCTGGTGGACATCTTTGATGTCCAAGTTATGTGTCCAGTTCTAGGCTGGAATTCCATTGTAGATCCATAATGGCCTGGAAAGACACCAGGTTCCCCACCCCCAAGCTTTCTTTGTTCAGCTGCATTTCTTCTTCCTCTTTCGGTCCAAAACATACACACCTTAACCTGTTGTTTCCTTTGCCAAAAAAAAAATGTATTCTCTCCGCCCCCCAGTCCCTCACTCCTAGCTGCCCAAGGCCTTAGCAGGATGCTTACCTCCGCTGGGGAACCTTTCCGGGTGTGTCTGCCCGTCTCCTGTCATCTCTACGCCCTCCAGCCTCCGCTCCCTGTTGGTAGATGTGACAAATGCTTGTTGAGCCCCTGTCCCAGTCTAGAGCTGGCGCTGAGTTTTATAATCCTGCCCTGGCTCCCCTCCCCTAGCTGTGGGCTCCCAGGCCGCAGTACTGGTATGTCTGAGGAATGCCAATACTGAGGCCCTCCTACACCCCTAGGCTCCGTCGCCGCACATTGTGCAGGGGTAGAGTGCCTTCTACTGTGGGAGGCCCTCAGAGCAAGGCCCAGGACAAAATCATGTCGTACCCCAAGACAGTGCAGGGACTGGCCTGTATCAGGCATTTAAAAAAAAAAAGAATAATCTTAATTTCCAATCTGAGCAGTAGTTTTGCTTTTAGGTGAACTTCTCCTTTTGGAATAACTTTAGATTCACATGAAAGTTGCAGTCCCAGTATAGCCACACCTGTGTTCTCCCTTGTTACTATCCCACATCACCGCCATACAGCTGCCAAAATTAAAACCTGACATGGGTATGTTGTTTTAGCTCGACTCCACACATTAAGTCTTTCCAGTTTTGCAGCACTGAGATGTGTAGAGCTCTTTCTGTTGAAAGCAGTGTTCCTGTAATATCTAAGTTCCTGTGGTGGGCAGGGATGGGAGTGGAGAGGCCAGGGGGCTGCCATGTAGTTTTAATGTCCATTTCTCCCTGGAAGACTGATAAATGGAAAATAGTTTAGAATATGGAAAATGGTTTAGAATACGAATAAGCAGTAGAAGTCCTCCTGCTTTAAAACCATTCTCCGACACTCCTCATTCCAGATTCATTTGGTTTTAAATTTTTAGAAAGCTAGATCTGCTGATCAGCAAGACCTCTGGAGAGTGGGAATTCTGACAAGAGATTTTGGAGAAGCTGGAGAAAGTTCTGAACAGCCAAGACACAGAGGGCTGAGGGCTCTGGAGAGGACAGTGTGCGCTGGATTCAGGAAAGGAGCCACCATTCCTCCTGTGACAGACACCAGGAAGCTGCTGACACCTGCCCTCTCGTGACAGTAAAGCAGAAATCTTGGAGCCAGCCCGTGGAGGTGCCCACCCCGGAGGGCCCTCCCCGGGGCCTTGTGAGGAGTCGAGATGAGCTCACCAACTTCCTCCAAACTAACAGCGACACATGTGATTCTCTGGACTGCCCCGTGAACTGAGTGTGTCCCCCATTTTACAGATAAGGTGACAGCTTGGCTTGAGGCCCCCACAGCCACCACGTGTGGCACAGTCTGTGTCGCATCTTTCAGCTTTGCTGCCCGGCAGCCTGTCTCCTGCCAGACCTCACCTGCCAGCCCCTTGTGCTGCCTGCTGCCCTCCCGGGCTCAGCACGCTCTCCCCCGGGTGCTGGCCATTCCCACTCCTCTCTGTGGCTCTGGTTGTTCCCTTGCCGCTAGTCGGGGCCTCAAATCTTTGATCAGGTTTCGTTTAGCATGTGACTAATAAGATAGTTGGGGATTCCCGATCTTGTTCCTCCCCTCCCGTCAGTCTTCTGGGTCAGCCGAGAAGGCCAGCCTTGCCTTTGTGGGCCTGTGTCTTCCCTTCATCATGTTCTTAGAAAGGAAGCCAGAGACCTCTGCTAGGATGTGTGCCAGGGCCTTGGCTGGGGGAAGCTTGGTTACTAGTGGGAAAAGTAAAAAGGGCGCATCACTGGTTCTTCAGCGGCACAGCGCCCACCTGTTCATCAGTCCTCGGGGGAGACGCAGGAGGAGAGCTGGGGACAGGCCCCGGGGGCAGTGGAGCTGCTGAGACCGCTGAAATCCCCAGACAGGCGGGGCAGGTGGGGGCCTGTGAGGGGCCTTCCTGGGGGCAGTGCATCGGTGGGGGGCCTGAGGGAGTCTCCTGACCCCTCCCCATGGTGCTCACCATGGCCGCCGTTCCTGGAGTGTGGAGAAAAGCCCTTCATCCCGTGACGCATGTAGGAAGGAAGTCTGTGTGTGCAGAGAAGCCGGTATTGCCAAAGGCAAATCGCACCTGTGCTGTTGCCCTTTGAGGGAACCTTCCAGGTCTTTCCAGGTCTGTGTGTGCAAGTTTGTGCAATACACACATTGTCCGACTCTGCACATCTTGCTCTGGGATCTGCTGTCTCCTGAGGTCCCATGTGTGTGCAAGTTTGAATACTCACTATAACACTTGGTATCAAAATGAAAAGTCAAAAAACAGTGAAGAGAAAGCCACCTCCCTATTATCCCTGTCTCCAGCCTGTGGTGCCCCCTGGAATGTCTGCGTGTGTTTATCGTGGTGTTTGCCAGTCTCGTGTGGGTAGACTTGAGATGGTTTCTGCTGCTTGTTATTACAGGCAATACTGTAGCAACCTTTTAGCCCATTATTTTGCACATGTGCAGGTCATTCTGGAGGTAAATACCCAGGATGGACCCTAGGTTCCCAGGTGTTGGCCCGGGATCACTAATAGGCGCTACCAAGTGGCTGCATACCTGTGTGCCCGCACCAGTGGTGTCACTGAGTTTTAAAAAATCTTTGCCACCTTGCTCGGATGTAAGACAGTTAACGGTGTGATATCATACCTTTGATGTGTGGCATTGTGTTCCCACCCATTGATGTGTCTGACAGGCAGAGTGGCCCAGGGTGTAAACTGGCTTTGATCCCAGCTCCGCATCTTCCAGTTGTGCAGCTTGGCAGGCTGGTTAACCTCTGGGCCACATTTCTGTGTCTGCACAGTGGGGCTAATAAGTACGTGGCTCTCAGGGCTGCTGCTAATTCATTTAGTTCTCTCTCCGGCCTGGCTGGCAGGCCCTTCAGGGCTGCTGGGTTTCGTTTTCTGGGATGTACACAGACGTCCCTGCCTGTGCCGCCTGCCATGACCTCGGGCTGTCATGCATCTGTTGGAGAATGTTCGCTCTCCACCAGCGCAGACCCCAGTCCTCTGACCCCGCTTCCTAGCCTGCTCCCAGGAGAGGTGGAGGGCTGCACCTCAAGCCTGCGTGCCAGGCGGAGGTACTGCCATGAGGAAAAAAAGAACATGGGCAACAGAGAGAATGGGGCCCTGTGGGCACAAGGACCCAGCGGTGCTTAAAGCGAGAGGGGGTCCCCCAGCGCCTGGGCAGCACCCCCCTCCATCCCCTGAGCGGCCCGGCTGCTCGGTGTGGGTCTACTTCTCGGTGTTTTTGTCTGTAGGAGCCTGGTGACGGCACCATATGGACATGGCCTGAGTCACGTTCTCTTAAATTATACATGCTATTTTAGGAGAGAAATTTCTGGAATCCAAAATACTGTTTTTTTTGCTCTAAAAAATTGCCCCATACTAATATCTTTCTGGGGGATGGCCGCTGCCAGACCCAGGCAGAGACCATAGTAGGTGTGAGGCCTTAGAGTTACCCCAGGGTGGCTCCTGGCTTGCCAGATCTTGTTGTAAATGCCTATTTGCACACTGGTTGCCTGAAGACTTGGCTGTGGTTTGCCCTGTGTGACAGTGGAGTCCCATTTTAAAGTCAAGTTAAAATTCACACAACGTGCTGCTCAGTGACCCGTGAATCCGGGCCTGGCCTCTGCTCTGCAGGGACCCCTTTGGGGTGGTGAGAGGTGGAGGGAAGGACTGGGAAGGTGACACGTGAGGTGCACCCTGCCTTTGAAGGGCTGCCCGTGAGCACGGAGCACGGGCCGGGCCCAGTAGAGGTGGCAGGAGCCCGCCACCGGGCTGCTCCCAGGGAAGGGGCCTTCAGGACGGCCGGTGGCCCGGGAGGCAGAGGGCTCCTCGTGGTGGAGGCCATCCCAGAGAGCCTGTCGTGGAATGGCAGCCATGCATGGCACTGAGCCGCCCACGGCCCACAGAAAACTCCTGGCAAGTTGCAACTTTTAAAGGTCCTGTCCCATGCAGAGGTAACTACGGGTCACATGAGGGGGTGCCCCCATGCTGATTATGGATCAAAATGAGATAAAGTGGAGGGCAGTTTCTGTAGTTCTCCACCTGTGTCTTTCAGGTGGGGCCATGACAGCCCCTGAGGGGCCCTACAACCCTCATGAGAGGGAAACCTGAGGAAAGGGTACAGGAGCTCAGACAGAAGTTTAGTAATTTAAGGCTCCTTTCAGTAAAATGAGAAAAACTCAGTTGAAGATATTAAAACAGACTCAATAAGATACGGAGTGAAAACGAATTCCTTCCTTCTTACCGCGTCGGTAACCAGTGGCCTCCCTGGGGCACGCTGGCGAGCTTACCAGAGGTGGGAGGGACCCAGGAGGCTGAGGCAGCAGGTACAGTCCAATGAAATGTGCTGCGACTAATGTGGCGTCCTGTCCTTGATTCTCAAGAGACTCAGGGAAAAATTCAAGATTGGTACATTATTTAATGGCAGCCAGTGCGGGGAATGATTAAGGTTTTGGGAATCACTAATTGGGAAAACCTAATGTAATCAGACTAATTCAGAAATACCTTAACCCTTGGTTGTGGAGACCATATGTTGGAGAACGAAATGGGCCTTATTTTGCAAAACAGATGTCTGGGTGTGAGCGTGTGTCCCTTGTACGGAAATGTCCTCTCAGTATTGCTAGGAGGCTTCCTCTGTTGGGAAATGTGACGAGCTGTTGATTTTTGTTTATGGCATACAATACGATCCAACTTTGTTTTTCTTTTCCTGTAGATACCCAGTTGTACGCCATTTTCTGGAAAAACCTCTTTGCCAGTGAGTTGCGGTGGCGCCTTGGCCCTGTCTGGCGTCGTGTCTCCGTAGGTCCGTTTTAGGCCCGCTTCCAGCTCTCGCTGGCCCGCCTCCTGTCCTGTGCCGGCACATCTTGCACAGAGGTGGCTGTCTCTGGCCGACTCTGGTAGAATGCGGGCGTCTGCCGCACTCCAAGAGTGTCCTGACCAGTTTTTGGCCTTTGATATGGTGGGGTTCAGGACACAGCACCCTGAAATATATCAGCTTGGCATATCGAATGTCTTAAGCTGGAGGAATCTGAGAAAATGGTACAAGCAGGAAGGTCACTCTGACCTCCCACCTCCCGTTTTCCCTGGAACAGGTCGTAAAACTCCCATGTGAAAGGTGCCCTCCCTGGCCAGGAGGAGGAAAGACATTTTTCTTGCCAAAGAAGGGGAGTTTGGGGCTGAGAGATCAGTACAAACCAACCTTCTTCAATTCACCCTGTCTTGCGACTTCACTGGGGACTCCCTCCAGCCCAGGCCTCGCTGCCTTGTCAGTTCTTCACAGAAACAACTTCACAGTTGTTTCTTTGCCTGAAAGGTATGGAAGCTTCTGGCTCTGGACAGTTCTTCAGGTCTTCATCCTCTCATGCAGGTTCGCAGGGACATGTAAAAGCTCAACACAATCTGTACGCCTTTCTTGTGTTAATCCTTGCCAGCTCAATTTTTCAGACCCAGCCAGAGACGCTATAGACACTTCTAGAATCAATTTTAAAATCAAATGTGCATGCACACACACACATACCCCTTTTGATTTGAGTTGCATTTAATTTAAAAAGTATGTAGAGACTGATGGACAGTGACTGCAATGGGGTATGGGGGGAACTCAATAATATGGGTGGATGTAGTAACCACATTGTATGTCATGTGAAACCTTCACAAGGGTGTATATCAATAATACCTTAATTAAATTGTAATAAAAAGTATGTAGGGGAGGATTCCTTTATTACCAACATCCCCCAGTCCTGGCCTGAGGTTTAGTGTATCAGGTGGAGCTTAGCTGCTGCATCGGACGGTCGCAATGCGCCCTCTTTCTCTTTTCTGGTATAGCTCTCCACCTGTTTACTCGGGTCTTCTCTAATGCCCCTCAAAGCTGTGTAATATGCTCTATAAAGGTGTTTCAGGTTTGGGCTTATTCTTATTTTGTGTTGTTATCCTGGCATATAAGAGTGCATTTTCCCTCACAATCTTTATGCCTGTTTCCTGCCCTTGCAGACCTCTGAGCTGCCCAGGACTTCTGGTCCTAGTGAACGATCGTGGAGCTGTAGAGGGCAACCTAGTTTATTCCTTATCTCAGAAACTGTGTTTTCTAAGTTTTACCATTAAGCATGGGGTTAATGGTACTGTGGGGGTTCTTAGCCCTCTCCTAATGGATAAGGAAGTTCCCTGATATTCTTAATCTGCATGGAATGTTTTTCAAATTGTGAATGGATGTTAATTGTCAGATGCTTTTTCTGCACCTGTCGAGATGAAAAGATTAAGAGAACAATTGGTAAATTTTATTAACTAAATTTTCTAATGTTAAATGATCTTGTATTTGTGTGACTAAGTCAACTTTATTGTATTTTATTATCCTTTTAAAATAGTATTAGAGTCTGTTGGTAATTGGTTAGAGTGTTTGCATCTAGGTTCTTGAGAAGAAAATGACAGTGAATTCATTTCGTTCCTACACTGCCCTGGTCAGCTTAGTTACCGGGTTGAGCTACCTGCGTTAGACGCTGGGGGGCGCTCCCTTGGTCTCTTTCCTGGGAGTGTTAGTGTCAGATTGGAATGACTCCTTCCCTGAAGTTTAGTAGAATTTACTAGGGAGGTTTTCTGGGCCTGGAAGTTTGATTTGTGTGTGTATGTGTGTTTGTGTGTGTATTGAGAGAGGAAATTTTACCAGTGATTCGATTTTTGTATTGTTTATAAAAGATGGTTCAGGTTTTTATTTTTTCTTGAGTCATATTTTTAAGTTATATTTTTTCTGGAAATTTATCTGTGTGGTTTACATTTTCCAAATACATTGATTCAAGTTGATCCCAGCATCCTCTTACCCATGAATCTTATCCACAGGAGGAGAGACCCCGTTTCCATTGCTGGCCACTTACTCCACCGGTGTGCCCTTCCCCACCCTGATTGGTCAGCCCCCATATCTTCCAAGAACAAACTTTAGCTTGGTAGATCCTCTCTGGTGGAGCCATGTTTTTCTTTTCTGTTTAATTTATTTCTTATTTATTTTCTTTCTTATATTTTCTTTGGGGCTGTTTTTCTGTTACTTTTCTACCTTAAAGATGGTGTTTAGCTTATTAATTACACCTGTCTTATTTTCTAACACATATCCTATAAGGTTATAATTTCCCTTTAAGTTCCAGTAAGTATTTATTATTGCTTGTTTAAATTTTCTGAATTCTGTTATTCTTAGTCCCATGAGTAAGTATATAGAATTACATTTCTCAATTTATAAGCATGTGAGGATTTTTCTAGTTATTTTTTTATTATTGATTTCTAACTTAATTGTATTGTGGTCAGAGAATATACTGTTGTTTCATTATTTGGGAATTTGTTGAGAGTTGTAAGGTCGGCTTTTATGAATCTTTGTGTGCTTCAAATAAGTGGGATTCTGCTCTTGGACACAGCTTTGTCCTGGCCGTGGGCCCGTCACTGCGGTGTGCCCACCCCGTTCACCCATACTTGTTTGTGTTTGTTCTCTTGGTCACTGAAAGAGGTAATAAAATATAAATGTATTGATACTATTATTTATATGCTATATTTTATATATATACTATAAATGTATACTATGTTAAATATATCTATATATTAAATGCTATACATATTTTTTATAATTACATATTACAAATATATACTATATACTATATAAATTTATGTATAATTAGTATATATAGATATATACTAAGTATATATTTATTTGTATTAAGTATACTATATATTTTTTATTAGGGTATTATTGATACACACTCTTATGAATGTTTCACATGAAAAAACAATGTGGTTACTACATTTACCCGTATTATCAAGTCCCCACCCTACCCCAGTGCAGTCACTGTCCATCAGTGCAGCAAGATGCCACAGATCCACTATGTGCCTTCTCTGTGCTACACTGTTCTCCCGGTGATCCCCCACACCAGGTGTACTAAACATAATACCCCTCAGTCCCCTTCTCCCTCCCTTCCACACCCCTCCCGTTTGGTAACCGCAAGTCCCTTCTTGGAGTCTGTGAGTCTGCTGCTGTTTTGTTCCTTCAGTTTTGCTTCGTTGTTATACTCCACAAATGAGGGAAATCATTTGGTACTTGTCTTTCTCCTCCTGGCTTATTTCACTGAGCATAATACCCTCTAGCTCCATCCATGTTGCGGCAAATGGTAGGATTTGTTTTCTTATGGCTGAATAATGTTCTACTGTGTATATGTACCTCATCTTCTTTATCTACTCATCTACTGACGGACACTTAGGTTCCTTCCATTTCTTGGCTATTGTAAATAGTGCTGCGATAAACATAGGGGTGCATCTGTCTTTTTGAATCTGAGTTGTTTTCTTTGGGTAAATTCCTAGGAGTGGAATTCCCGGGAATGGTATTTCTATTTTTAGTTTTTTGAGGAACCTCCATATTGCTTTCCACAGTGGTTGAACTAGTTTACATTCCCACCAGCAGTGTAGGAAGGTTCCCCTTTCTCAGCATCCTCACCAGCATTTGTTGTTCCTATTCTTTTCAATGTTGGCCATCCTAACTGGTGTGAGGTGGTATCTCATTGTGGTATCTCATAATTCAAACCACAATGCATTTCCCTGATAATTAGTGGGAGCATCTTTTCATGTGTCTGTTGGTCATCTGAATTTCTTTGTAGAAGTGTCTGTTCATATCTTCCACCCATTTTTTAATAGGCTTATTTGCTTTTTGGGTGTTGAGGCATGTGAGTTCTTTATATGTTTTGGATGTTAACCCCTTGTCGGATATGTTGTTTACAAATATATTCTCCCATAGAGGTCATTATCTTTCAGGGCCCTGAAGGGCACCTTGCCTACTGCCTTCTGGGTTCCATTGTGCTACTTGGGAAGTTCTGTTGAAAGATGGTTTTCTCTCCCCTTCTGGATGATTCTAAGACTTTGATTTCTTTTTCTTTGGTGTTGTACAGTTTCATTGTTATGTGACCAGGTGTGGCTTTATTTTTATTTCTTTGTAGGATTATTGAGCTTAAGTCTTTAGATTGGTGTCTTTATTCAATTCTGGAAAAACTGAAGAAATCATTCTCTCTTCATACAGTTTCTCCGCCTCATTCCTCTCATTTTACCGTCTGTAAATCTAAATACAAGTCTGTCTTTTGGTGCTATTTCCAAGAAATTTCTGCCAAATCAATGTCATGAAGACTTCTCTGTTTTCTTCTAAGAGTTTTATAGTTTTAGTTCTTATATTTAGGTCTTTGATCCTTTTTGAGTTAATTTTTGTATATGGTGGGAGGTAGGGTCCAACTTCGTTCTTTCACATATGTGGATATCCAGTTGTCCCCCACCATTTGTTGAAAAGACTGTCCTTTCCACACTGAATGGTTTTGACAGCCATGTTGAAAACCATTTGGCCGTATTCAAGGGTTATTTCTGGACTGATACATAATTTTTAAAGGATAAATTAATACTGGATACATCACACATGGTCCTAAATGCCATTATGCTTTGAGTCATTAATTCTGTGGCTGGGACAGGATGGGACCAGGGCCGCTGTCAGCTTCACTTAGATGGGGTCTCACTGTCTGTGCTGCTTTCACATTGCCTGAAGCCACATGTTGTAAGATGTATTTGATGAAATGTTTTTGTCAAATTATTTGTATGTAAAACCTGTCACTTCCAACTTAATTTAGAATGGCTAAACAGTGACTAGGCATGAGTATTCTCTTTGTGTACAATTAATTAATATAGAGAATTTGATCTTTAACTTCTAGTCCTGCTTACCCCCAACCCCATTCTCCAAAACCCATGCCTCCTGAACACACTTCCTTGATGCGCTTCGTTCTTTCCACGACCCGCTGCTTTGTCTTGATTTGGGGCAGGTCGTGACGCTTCGCTCTCATTCCAGCCGCGTGGACAGCTGCACACGCCCCCCCAGCGCCGGCGGCTCTCGCGTGCATGTTTCAGTGTCTGCTTTGTCGGCGAGCCCAGAGCTGCCGTTCTTCGAGTGCCGGCGCCGAGCTGAGCGAGGAGGGTCCAGCGGACACGGTGAAGATGACAAAGCCCAAGACCTTCCAAGCTTACCTGCCAAACTGTCACCGAACGTACAGCTGCGTCCACTGCAGAACCCACCTAGCCAATCACGACGAGCTGATCTCCAAGGCAAGTGGTTCGTGTCTAGACATTGATGAGGTTCCTTAACAGCGCTTATCGCACCTGAAAGCATCGCGTGACTTTCCGGTCCGCTGGGCCCTCAGTCTGGAGCCTTCGGGGCAGCACTGGTGGAGGTTCCGTGCGTGATCAGGCGCGGCTGTGCCTTCGTCTTGCCCCCGACCCTTGTGCAGTGGGTGGGCTTGGCGGGCAGGGCAGCTGGGACCCCCAGACATCATGAAGTGAGTGAGATGGGCATTTGTCAGAGCAGAAAAATTAATGTAAAACCAGAGAACACTGAAGGAATAAAGAAGTGTGGAAGAATCTGTGAAAATAGCTTTTCAAACTCAGAATGGTGGGGAAGAAAGGAAGCCATCATGGGGGAGGTGGGCTCTTTCAAGAAAATGCCTGGGAGGGGCGCTCTGACCCGGCTCGCCGCTGCCCTGGGCGCTGTGCCGGGCGGGGAGCACCCCTGCTGAAGTCGAACTCTCTCCCGGCAGCTCGGGGTGTTACAGTGAGCCACGGGGGGGCATTTCCCACGGTGCGCCTGCTGCCCCGGGGAACAGTGACAGGCCCATCTCCGCACCCGCCCAGGTCCCTACCCCTCTACCCCCCAGGTCATGACCCCTCGCTCCCACCCCGCAGCTCTGCCTCCCTGGGCTCTGGCCCCCTTGCGCCGTTACTGCGCACGCTCACCGTGGAGGGAGGAGGCCCAGCGGCCTGGGGGACCTGGCCAGCCTCGGTAGTGCTTGTTACCAGCGGGCAGGGCCCCAGCCCGGGGGGGGGGGGGGGGTCGTCTCTGTGCGCAGGCCCGGCGGTTGGAAGGCTCCGGTTTGACCTGCGGGCCACATCTGGCCCGCGGCCCGTTGTTCTGGGGCGTTACTGGGTCACAGCCACGCTCGTCTGTTTGTCATGTGCGGCTACCGTCCTGCCCAGCGTAGTGGCTGCCCCAAGGCCTGAGGTGCCCGTCGTCCGGCCCGGACGGCCCGGGTCTGCAGAGCCCTGCCGCAGCCAGCCCTCGCCGTCGCTCCTGCCCGACCCCCGCAGACCTTTTAATACGCTTCTCTTCTCTGCAGTCTTTCCAGGGAAGTCAGGGCCGCGCCTACCTCTTCAACGCTGTGTGAGTATGGCTGCCGCTAGGCTGCGCAGCGCGGCCGCTGCCGGACCGGGTTTGCTGCTCTGTACCGCCGCCTGTCCCACAGCCCGAGTGTGTCGGCAGGCGTCACCGCTGGCTTGGAATCCCCCGTACCCCCCGTGTCTGCATGTGATCTCGCACGTGCTCTGTAGCCTGAGAGTCTCGGGAAAGGGTGACGCTGAGGAATGAGCGCCCCCCACGGTGTGGCTTCTGCCCGTCTGGTGGATGTGGTCGTTGTACAGCCTGTCCCATCTTGGGATTCTCACGGGAAATAAAAGCTGTTCCTGCTTAAAAGGTGGTGGTGGGCAGGGGTCGGGGAGGCAGGGAGTTCAAAAGAAACGTGCTGGGTTTCTGGTAACCAGTTGGCTGAAGAAAATACCAGCCAAGGGTGGGAGCCAGGGGCTGGAAATGCCCGTCCCCAGGCCCCAACGCCACCTGCCTCCTTTCCTGCAGGGTGAACGTGGGCTGCGGCCCCGCAGAGGAGAGGGTGCTCCTCACCGGCCTGCACGCCGTCGCGGACATCTACTGTGAGAACTGCAGAACCACGCTTGGGTGGAAATATGTGAGTGACCGGCTTATTCTGACATTCAAAGAGGGCTCAGATTTACTATAAAAAATAAAACATAGAAATGGAAACAAAATTTTCAAAGGATTAAGACCTCTCCCTGAAACTGTTGGTCGAAGAAAGCATTCTTTAAATAGAATTTTTGGCCCTATTAAAGATGTGTGTATCATGGCACACCTGCAGGGCAGGGGTGCCTGGCCCCCCTACAAACACCGTGCTCCCTCAGGGGGGGAGGCTGTCCCACTGTTTGGCTGGGGCCCAGGGTGGCTGGTGACATGCTTATTAGCAGGAGCAGTCACAGCAGATGCCCTGCTGGCTGGGCGCCTTGCGCACCCAGGACCTATCCACGGGAGCTAAGCAAAGCCGTCCCACCCCATTCCAGCCTTTTGGTCCGTGGCTCCCTCCCTCCTACCACCGCTGAGGCCTGGCCTCCCCCTCGCTCGCTTAGGGTTTGGCCCTGGGAAGCCTCTGGCGCCACCCTCCCGGCCTTCCTCTGATCTCAGCCTACTTGGAGCTCCTGCTGAAACTCCCAGACTTGCGGCTCTGCCCAGCTCCTGCCCTGGCAGAAGGCGCCTGCCGCTCCTCGCACACCCACCCACCTCCAGCCTGGGAGAGGCCCGGTGGCATGGCACCTGTCCTCGTGGAGGTGGGCTCCTGCAGCCACTCTGGTTTTCATCAGGACCACCTGCTGTCCCTCTTCTGGAATTCCTGGCCATTTCTTGTCTCCCTGATCCCCATCACTTACGAGGGACACAGTCCCTGGGGTGGAGCATGGCTCCGGGAGGCCCACGTGCTGCTCCAGCAGGTGCATGGTGTACCTGCTTCACCCTCCTGTCACCCAGGGCCCTGGCAGCAGCACTGTGCCCCTCTTGCTGCCTCCCGATGGCCCTGCCCTGGTAGGTGCTCAGTGGCACGTTGGAATTTACATTTCCTCACCAGCATGACTGCACTTACCGAGTGCAGCAGGTCCAGAGTGACTCCCATGCCCCCCCGGGGAGCGTGGCACGGGGACATCTGGGAACACAACGCTAAGGACCGAGTTTCTTGGCTAAGAGGGTCATGAAGCTGTAATGAAGTTTCTCTATCCTGAAACCTCTCTCCTTTCTTCTCTTCAAGGAGCATGCCTTTGAGAGCAGTCAGAAATATAAGGAAGGAAAATTTATCATTGAGCTTGCCCACATGATCAAAGACAATGGTTGGGAGTAAAGAGAAAACTTTCCATTTTCTTTTGAATATTATTTTGTGAAAGAGACTGTGAACGTCACGGAAATGGAGTATTTTGGACAACACTTTCTTGAACTTGAGCCTCACGGGCTGGCCTCCCCCCGGCCATCCCCTTGGGTAAGGCATCCTTTCCAGTCTATGTCCTATTTGTATATATGGTTGTTTCTGAAATGTTTCAATGACCTTTTCCTAACTTCTCAAGTTCTAGAGAAAGAATTAACCAACTGATAACTTATCCGTCTAGTTAATACCTTGTCTGATCAATGCCTTTAAGGTAGTTTGGCCGTGTGCTCCTTCAAGTTTCATAGAAAACCAGACCTGATCCCCGCAGACCACAGAGCATCTCAGCAAGTTCACCCCTCTCTGAGAGTGAGGGTGTCACAGCCCACTTTTTTCTAATTTGCAAAGCTACAGATTGGTTGCTCTTCTTGCAGATGAGCTGTTGAGGTGTAGTTCTCATTTAGGAATTTCCAAAAGCAGTCAAAGAATCTATATACTAAGGGAATTTTTTTAGTCTTGTTCAAAAACAGAGACCACCACTGAAAACATTTTAAATAAGCTATAGAGAAATGTGTCTATGGAACATCTTGTTTATTTAAGCCAACAGCTTCCTTATCCAGAAAGCAAGTGAACTAGTCATTAGCAAAAGCTGTTCTGGGGCCCTGCAGGCATGCCACACACGGGGCCACAGTTCCGCAGGGCTCCAGACACGGGCTTCTGTTGGTCAGCAGCTGAGTGGCTGCTCCGTGGAGTTAATAGTTGAACGCACTGGACCGAGTAGTATCGGATTTCCTACTCTGATGTACTTGAAGAAAAAGAATTATTTTTGCATATGAGAGAGGCCAGAACAGGATAAACCTCAAAAGCTGCGATTTGCCAGATTGTTTTAAAATTTTTTCAGCGAGTTGAAGACAGGGTTAAACTTCGTAAATGAAGATATTTGGTTTACTTGGTGGGTCACCTGCACCCCACTGGTTCTGTCCTGTGGGATGACACAGAAGGGACCTGGATGGTGGCCTAAGGCCTGTGTTTCTGCCTCATATTCTAAGTTCCAATCCCCTGCGCCTCTGCAGGGAGAGCGGGCACTACACAGGGGTTTTGGCCAGTCTGCAGAAAAGAGAGGCCAAAAAACATTCCCAAATAAGTTTTGGTTCTTGATGTTGTGACTCTGGCCATTGGCCCTGGCCTGCTGTTCCAGACATCTTGGGGAAACCCTCCATGTAGTTGCCATGGAGTGAGACTCATAGGACCCCAGTGCCAGGGTGCAGGGGCAGATAAAGGGCCCTAGGGAGGCAGGGAGACAGGAAGGCAACATGCCCAGATATTTCTGAGCCTGGCGGAACGCCTCTGAAATTGCCTTGACATGATTAGCCCAGTGGCAGTGAGCGTCAGCTGGCTGGGGGCAGTGAGAGAATGGCTTCCAGTCTGGGCTGAGGGGTCCCCTCCCTGACTGCAGCCCTTTGCTGAGCCTGAAGCCGGACAGGCCCTGGTCCCAACTGGTCTGGTTCAGCCACCCAGCTAGAGTGGCCCTTTGCACTGTCTTTCTGCCTCGGACTGGAAGCCTTGGCATATGGGTGATGCTCTGGTGCGAGGACATCAGTGAGAGTTAGTATGCAGAGTGTAACCCACGTCTTTTACCTGCAAATGCAGGTCTTTATACAGTGGTCTCTGTGCTGGCAGTTCCTCCCGTTGGCCGCTGCTTCCTGAGCGTATCCCAAAGATTCAGGCAGCCCTGGCAGTCCCCGTTTGTCCGTGTCCGGCTCTGCTCCTGCCCGGCCTCCAGGGCACCAGCACTCACGCAGCACACGCTCACTGCCATGGTCCTGAATCTGGAGACTTGTCACTAGTGAAGCTCACACGTGAAGTGGCTCCAGTCTTCGGTGGGAGTCTCGTTGGGGCTCAGGCGCTGTCCTCGAGGGCACAGTGCTCATCCTGCCCCCTCTCCTGGCGCCTCGGGTCGCATGACCCTTGGTGCTGCAGCTTCCGGGCACCTTCCCCATCAAGAGCTTCACTTACACTGAAGACGCCTCTGAAATAATTCTGACCACCTTTGTATATACTAAGCTTCGGGGCGTCTGCATGTCCTGGGCAAGGGCGCTGCCCCTCCGGTTGGGCACGCTGTTGTACTGTCTCGTGATGGCGTTGGAACACCTGTACCAGAGGTCTTACGACCTGCATTGTCTGGTAACTGACGCCAGCAGCTGCTCTTTCCCGTCTGTGGGTCTTCTGCAAAACCCAGGCCCTCTGAGGCCCACGACCCGAGCACAGCAACAGGGCCAGGAAGGGCAGTCCACCCACGGCCCTGAGCCTGGTGTTGGAATGTCCCACCCTCTTAAATTCCTCAACGCTAGGTAGCCCGTGATTTTTATTTAAAGTATTTAAAATACTGTTTTCCTTGAGGAGTGGGAGGTGTGCTGCCAGGATTATAAATGAATTAACCTCCGTGGTGTCCCCTGGGCACAGTGCATCTGCTGTAGAAATGTGGCTTAGTTTGGCTGCTGTTTTATATACACACATATATAGTATTTTTATACTTACTGCTTATTCTTGGTGACCTCTGTCAGCTATTAGGAGGGAGAAGAAATGGGAATTTTTTTCAAAAGTCCTTTAATTTGCCTGATGACCTCACCAGGTACTTACAAAATCCAAGTGATTTTAATACGTAGAAAACTTTTAAGCTTCAAAACAACCTACAGAAATGTAAACCCTTGTTTGTCAAAGGCTCTGGGCAGGCCTGTTCATGTGGCCCAGCCCGGGTGAGGCTGGACAGATGGGCAGCAGCCCAGGGCCGGCCCAAAGGTCGGCGCCTAGAGGACTGCCTCACTCCCGTGCACAAGCCTCCTTCAGTCCTGTGTCTGTGTGGCTTAAAAATAAAGCTTCTGATGTCGGATGTGTCCTTTTCAGTAGCGCCACTTGTCCTGGGCGCTGTACTGCTGACGAATGCGTCCTCGTGTCCCGCAAGGGGGTCCGGGGTAGACAAGAGCCCCTCTCGGCAGCAGAAGCTGCTCCCGGAATGCTGCGCCACCCTCGCCACCTGCCACCTCAGGGAAGCCTGAGAAGAGCCTCCTGTAACCACCGCCCTCCCCGCAGGGGCCCTGGGCATGCTCCCCATAGACTATTGCCACACCCTGCTGTCCAGTGTGGACCAGGCTCCTGGGGACCACGCCAGCACAAACCAGGGGGCAGGCCTCACGAGGGAGTCCCACACACCTTTGCGTGCACCTGGAAGGGGTAGGGGTGGGGGTGGGCAGGCTGTGACGTGAGGGCCAAGGGCTGGGACGAGGCCTCTGTAGAGCTCAGGTCACTGGCTGACAGTTGTGGGCGAGGACTGTAGAGGGACAGGCCTTGTCCTCAGCACAGTGAAAAGCCAGTGACTGGCCCGAGGCACATGACAACAGCCCACAAGCTCTCAGGAGGCGACGTACACAGTGCTGGTGTGCATGTGCGTGACGGCCTTTACCGAGGCAGGTGCGAGAACCCAGGTGTGGGCTGGGGGTCAGCATCGGAGATGGGAGGGGGCAGGGTATGTCCTGAAGAAAGCTGTTGAGACTTGCTTGTGGAGTTGAAGCTGTGGGTGAGGAAAAGGAGAGAAACCCAACGACACAGTCCAAGAAGGCGTGGTGGCCTGTGCTGACTGGGCGTGAGAGGCACTGAGAAGGGGGTGTGGGGCGGACAGCAACACGCTCAGAGCCTCAGGCTACAGGCGGCAGGCGCCCCACTTCTGCAGTGGAGCTTCAGGAAAGCCGAGGTAGCAGGGTCAAGGTCAGGAGACTGGAAGCTGGGCCGGCACAGGCCGCAGGAAGCATGGAAGGCAACAAAGGACCAGTAGCTGGTTTCTGAAGATGTTTATAGAAGACAGGGTCAAGGGAGGGGATCTCAGGGCGTGGCTGGCCTGGAGGCCCTGGGCCCAGCGCTGAGGGTTCGGTCAGAGGGGGCCTGCCAGGGCCTCTGCACGTCCGTCAGCCACAGCGGGAGCTGGCTTCCCCCGTGGGTGCTGTCACCATCCTGAGGCAGAGGTGGGTCCCAGTGACCCAACCAAGAGGCAGAAAAGGTTTTTAGAAACACCCAGGATCTCATGTAGCCCCCGAGGTCTCTCCACACACAGACCTTGGAGCCCTGCCCCTCAGGTGTCCAGGTCAGAAGCTCTGGGGTCTGAGAATCTAACATCCCAGGTGATGCCACTCGGTGAGGACCATACAGTAAATAATCCCTGAGATGATGGAAGTGTGGGGTCAGGAAGCCAGAGGAGACAAGCCCTTCCTCCCTCACCAGACTCGAGCCAAAGGCCAGTCTGAGAGTCAGACTCCAGGCCACTGGTCCGAGGACGCTGGTTCTGCCCAGGCCTGGAAAGGGCCAGGTGGCGGCACTGGGGGAGGGTGCAGAGGCCTGTGGGCCCCTGGAAGGAGCCGGCAAGAGACAAGAGATTTGCTGAGTCGTGCGTAGCCAAAGGGCAGAACTGAGTGGCATGCATGCAGGCCCCCAGCCGAGCCCCTACCAGGGTCCAGAGGTGGGCCTGCTACCATGAGCTGAAGTCCCCAAAACCTTGGCTGGGCTGCTTCTTGGCCACTGGGACGGCTGTGCTGGTTGACTGTTCTTCATCCGCTACACGTTTCCTAGGAAAAGAACCACCCACTCCAGCTGCCGTGTGGGACCCAGGCCCTCCCACACCCCCAACTTAATGTGGCGTGGCTGCCCACCGCCTACCGAGCCCCACTCTCCAGCCTGCACAGTGGGTCCCCCTGCTCCCTCCTGCCTCACCCAGGGCCTGCTGCCCCGCCACTGGCGGGCTGACCTGGCAGCAGCATTCACTGTGTGACCACCATGCAAACAGAGGACTCCAGCCCGGGCCCCACTCACGTGGCCGCCGGGTTGATGTATTTGCCCACCCCCTGGCGGTATGTCTGGGGGCCCTGGCTCCCTGGCTTGGGCTGGCTGGTCTTCACTGTGCTTTCCAGGGCTGCTACCTCGAGCTGCGTCTTCCTGCGCTCCTCAGCAATCTG